CGTGGCCATCAGCCTGACCACGGTGATGGTGGCCGGGCGTTTGCTGGAGCCCCTATGGGGAGCCTTGGAGCTGCTCATCTTCTTCTCAGTGGTGAATGTGTCTGTAGGGCTGTTGGGGGCCTTCGCCTATCTCCTCACCTACATGGCTTCCTTCAACTTGGTCTACCTGTTCACTGTCCGTATTCACGGCACCTTGGGCTTCCTAGGTGGGGTCCTGGTGGCACTCAAGCAAACCATGGGGGACTGTGTGGTCCTGCGAGTGCCCCAGGTGCGCATCAGTGTGATGCCCATGCTGCTGCTGGCACTGCTGCTCCTGCTGCGGCTCACCACGCTGCTCCAGAGCCCAGCGCTGGCTTCCTATGGCTTCGGGCTGCTCTCCAGTTGGGTGTATCTTCGCTTCTACCAGCGCCATAGCCGGGGCCGAGGGGACATGGCTGACCACTTTGCTTTTGCCACTTTCTTCCCCGAGATCCTGCAGCCCGTGGTGGGGTTGCTGGCGAACTTGGTGCATGGCCTCCTGGTGAAGGTAAAGATATGCCAGAAGACGGTAAAGCGCTATGATGTGGGTGCCCCATCCTCAATCACCATTAGCCTGCCAGGCACAGACCCTCAAGACGCCGAACGGAGAAGGTACTGTGAAATTTTGCAAAATCTTGTCAAGCCAGGAGCATACTGGTCGAGTCACATGCCATCTGTTGAGGTGTTTGCTGTACATAAGGTGGAGACCTACAGTCAGGTGTTGGGGCAGATCCGGAAAGATAAAATCAGTTTTTGGGCTTGAGGAACTCAGGTGTCTGGGCTCCACGGGGCACTTTTCTCACCTCTCAGGCCACTTAATAAGTCTCAAGAAATGCAGTTTCTTTTGGTGCTGTGAAGGCCCAATGGAGGTACAGAACTCTGGCCTTGCCTCAGAATCTCAGAATCCTAGACACTGGGCCTGTGGGAACCAGAAGCAACCTGCTGGTCCTTTCCCCTGAGGGAGGGACAGGGAAGGAGGCCTGGGGTCCACGAAAAGTGATCTAGGCCACTCCCAATTTCCAAATGCTGTGTCCTCTTCCTGGACTTTAATTTAGATGCTGTTCTCTGCCACTTATTTATCGAGAGGGAAGCTTGAGGGTACTACCAGATTTACCCCCTTCTCCAGCAGGCATGTGTCACCAAAACCAGGGACAGGCTACATGACCCACTGAGGGAGCCTGCTGACCACACCAGGGAGTGGTGATGGCCCTTTCATTATCTGTAAACCAAGTCATCCACAACATCAGGAGTCCCAGCTGAATTCTTGACTGAATGCACTTTGGCCAGGGCAGGAGGGATCTTTTTAAATTCAGCTCTTATTCCTTCTCCCAGATCTTGCCATCCAGCAGAGTGGTCCCAGCTTTCACAAGTTCCACAGCTCTATTGCCAACACTATTCTTAAGTGTTTTGAGGCAATTACTTGAGTAGTAAAATCTGAGGCAGGCTTCTCTTTTGCATTGCCAAGTCTCCTGCTTTTGCTCACCTATCAATGGGCTCCTGGCTGGAAGCTCTATGAATTCAGCTGCAGTTGTCCCTGTATTTACTCTCCACTGGACTATGGAATTGAGTGTGGGATACATTCCCTTCTTGAAGGAGTTCCAGCTGGGGAAGGGCTGCAGATCACTATGGCCCAAGGTATGGTAGGTGTTGTAAAATATGTACAGCATGCTGTGGGGCATAATTCTAGGCCCTATAGCTTGGGTTTTTATAGGTGATAAGCCCTAAGGACAGAAGTCTGTCTTAACCTTAGCTGGTATTAAAGATGGGGCCAGGAGAGCTAGGCCTGGTAGGAACTGAGCTGTCCCTCAGAGCTATTCAGATGGGGCCAGGCTGGTGGGGACCCCTCCTCCACTGAGAGGTGTCGGATTGTTAGGGTTGACTGAACATTCAGAAACCTGCTCAGGCCCAAGAATCTGGACAGGGGGAAAGCAGGTTGGTGGGGAGGAAGGGAGGGTCAAGAGGCGGGTTCTTGGCATAGCCTTATGGTTATTAGCTTACATGGCGGTGTGGGTTACTCTTCCAGCCAGTTTGACATCTGATTGCATGGCCACACCCAACTCCAAAGGGCTACGGGGAGTGGGAGGAAGGGTTTCCTATCTGTCTCTCTGGTCCTTGTGAAGAAGTGACCAGCGTGACACTAGCTCTCTGCCTTGGCAGGCTTTAGACGAAACTGGCAAGGGCATCATCAGGATGGGAGCCTGGGAAGCAGCAGGGAAGGCCTGTCCTGTCTATACCAACTTGTCATGTGCCAGATTGACGAGCAGGGTGGAAGCGTGCTAGGGCTTTCTACACCTGTGTCCTTGTTGCCTCTCTTGTCATGTTCCCTGGCATGGTGGAGACTTTGGTTCTCACCTGGAACCTGGAAGGCTACACAGGCTGTCCCCACATTGGTGGCACAGAGAGGCTGAGGCATAGGGGTCCACAGTGGTGCTGCTGGAACTGTTCCCTGGCAGCTGAGGCACTCCACCTTCTGGTGGGCCAGGGTCCCAGGCACATGTGTAAACCTTATTCTATTGGACTTTCTCACCTGCCCTCAAAGCAGGGCCTCTAAGGGTCTGCCTCGTGGAACCAACAGGCTCTGGCCTGTGTCCCCCATGTGGGCTGTTTCTCCTCCTTCTCCTCTTGCAAGGGCTCCACTAAGTCCCTGCTCTAACAAGGGCCTTGGTGGCTTTGGTGATTCTTCTGAGAGGGAGAATATTAGCTTCAGGAGGGGTAGACGCACACAAGTTGGCCTTGCTTCCTGGGTTGAGAGCCAAGGGAGGTGTTGAATTCCAGCCTTCCCCATTGACTCTTGCCAGGAGGCTTGAGATACCCTAACCAGGAGAGGGGGAGAATTAACCTGTAACCCTTCCTGGCAGGGCGATGTGGCTCACACCTGTAATCCCAGCACTTTGGGAGGCCAAGGCAGGTGGATCACAAGGTCAGGAGTTCAGACCAGCCTGGCCAAGATGGTGAAACCCTGTCTCTACTAAAAATACAAAAATAAGCCGGACGTGGTGGTGAGCACCTGTAATACTTGGGAGGCTGAGGCGGAGAATTGTTTGAACCCGGGAGGCAGAGGTTGTAGTGAGCCAAGATCATGCCACTGCTCTCCAGCCTGGGCATAGAGTAAGACTCCATCTCAAAAAAAATAAAAACAACCCTTCCCTTGGATGTGATGCCAGCACCCAGACAGAAACTCCTGGAAACTCCAGGAACTTGCTGTTCCACCCACCCTTAGATACCACCCTCAGAACCATTCCTATGGCTGGCCTGGTGGGCAGTCTGGCAGATACCCAGCTGACCTTCCCAGCCTGGAGGTGCCTCAGCTATGGAATGAAGACTCTTATGGCCTTTGGGTTATCATTATGATGGCAGAGTGGTCCCTAAACCAATCTCAGGGGAGTCCCAGTCTCTGCATGGGGAAGAGGAAACATGGGATTCTGAGGGAGGAGTCAGCCTGCAGAAGGGTAGAGGGCATGAGCCAAGGCCAAACCCAGAGTGACCTGTCCTCTCTCCTCTGGCCCCAGGCAACTCGCCCTGAAGGCACTCAATGAGCGGCTGAAGAGAGTTGAGGACCAGTCCATCTGGCCCAGCATGGATGATGATGAAGAGGAGGCTGGGGCCAAGGTGGACAGCCCCCTGCCCTCAGACAAAGCTCCTATACCCCCAGGGAAGGGGGCTGCCCCAGAATCCAGTCTAATCACCTTCGAAGCAGCTCCCCCGATGCTGTAACTCCAGACCAGCTTGAGTATGGCACCTCTCCCGAGCCCCCCTTGACATCCTCTCAGCTACTCCAGGGCTCCTGACTGCTCTGAGGAGAGGGAAGAAGGCCTGCTGGGGGTGTCCATGGCCTTCTGCTGTTTATCACCAACACTACCCAGGACTCTTGCTACCTGGTTCCAACTCCAGACAACCACTATGCCAGGCCTGGGGCCTCTGAGGCATTAGCCAGTCCAGGCCCTCATCTGAGGTAAGAATGTACCTCAGCTGGCAGTCCCAAGAAAGTGACTGCAAGGACATTGATGCCACAGCTCCTGGGCTGGCCCTCACATCTGAAACTGGTTGCCGAGAGCCCTGAGCCAAGGCAAGGATTTGCCAAAAATGTTCTGGGGGCCCAGCAAATGCAGGAGCCCACATCTCCAGAAAGACTGTTCCTGCCGGGATTTCTTGTTTCCCTCTGCTGTGGCCATGACTGCTTCTGGACCAGAGCAGCTCCAGCTCCCAGGTATTTTCTACAGGACCACCTGAGTGTGCAGCCAAGCCCAGGCTCGCAGTATCAATAAAGCAGTTCTTTGAGGAATGACTCCTGGGCTTTTGTCAGGCCACCTTGTGCCGTGCCCCCCTGCCCCGCCATCACGTTCAACTGCAAAGTTGAGACCTGGTTGTCTCCATTGTAACTCCAGCTGGATAAGAAGTCCATTGCCCCAGCTCCCCACCACCACCACCACCACACGCCCACTACCAAGCAACCTTCTAAGAGCTATTGCCTCAGACCCTTACTCCTTTTTTTCTTTCCCTCCGATCCCCAATTTGGGAGGCCCTCTGTCCCTGCCTAGATCTGATGGTAAGGGCCTCTCTACCATGAGGCATTGTTCTTATCCACGGTTTACTTCTAAGACAGAATACTCGGTGCTTGCCACCCCTGGAGACAGCCCAGCCCCAGCTCCCATCCTATTACTGTATGTATCTAACCCCCAGTCTGGAGACTCCACCGCAGTGGACAGCTGGGGGATGCAAAGGACACACAGCTGTACCATTCACAGCTGCAGCTCTAGGGCCTGCCAGGGCCCTGAGTGGCCTGGGAGGCTCAGCAGCTAGATCCTGGGATTTGTGTGCTGGGAGAGCTTCAGCCCCTCAGGGAGCAGCCAGGGATTGGGAGGGGTCCCCATCTTGCCCAGCAGCGCATTTTCTCATGCTGATGACATTAACAAGAACCATCCCCAACTCTAGGCTGCTCTCCCATCAATCTTTTTAGTCTTTTTTTTTTTTAATTTTTTTTTATTTTTTACTTTTTCCTCTCCTGAAATTTCTGGACATATAGTACAAGTATGAGCTGCCTTGCAGGGGAGGCAGTCCTGCAGCCCCAGCTTCATCCAGACACACGATACCTATGTTCCTCTGGGATGATGAAGAGAGGGGAAGGAAATGGGAGGCACTCCAACATGAGGAGCAGGAATTCACACACGGGCCTCCAACTGCCCAACTGTCCCAGTGCCTGAGGTGTCCCCCTGACTCAGTCAGCTGAGAGAGTTCAAGAAGTACCTAGTCCCAGCTCCTACATGGAGGGACAAATCCAGGCTTCCCCTAGGCTGGGAAGAGCTCATGGTTGGATCCTCTTGCGGTATAAGTAGGCATTGCTTACCTGGTTCATAATGACCAAGCTGGTGAGGACAGGGCATAGTACAGCTAGATACCAGGCTGCACCAGTGACAGAGGCAGTGAACCAGAGTGAGCACATGCCCAACAAGAGGCTGGCACTACCCAGCAGGTAGCCCACCAGCCCAGAAGTAGCATGGTATAGCTTGAGCTTCGCCAGGGGCCATCGGGGCAGCAGCTTGGGATAGAGCAGCCCCACCCCACCTGAGCACTGCAGCCCTGCCCACAGTACAGCCAGCAGCCCTGCCTGACCATGCCGTGTGGCCAGGTGGGCTTTGCCAAGCTGTTCTTTGTGGAGGATGACAAGGCTGAGGCCCAGCAGTGCACACAACAGAGCCAGCAGCTGCAGTACCCAGTGGCAGCGTGCTCGGCCCTTCCGTGAGAGGGAGCGCAGCAACGAACTCTCAGGAGAGAACACCAGTAGTGCCTCGGTCATCAGGAAGGAGAACTGAGGAGACAAGGGATGGGAAACTTAAGTGAGGGTGCTGCCCCACAAGAGGGGAAGAGAGCTTTATGTAACCCTCAGTCAGCAAATCTGGGCTGATTCCCCTTTTTCTTTCTCTCCCCACTGACAAGACTATCCATTTGGTGGGGCAAGAGTGGAAAACCCCATCTGGGATGATTTATGTGCCCTGAATAATCTCCACACTTCTTCCTAGGTGCTAGTCTGAAATGTCATCTCTGCTATGTTACCAAGCAAACACAGGGTTTGAAATGTGGCGGTTATAAATGATTCACAAGCTTTGTTTTCCTAACTTTGGGCTGGATACAATTTCTTGGCAAGAGCCGGCCACATGAGTGGACTGTTTCAGAGAAAGTCAGGTGCATCACCAGAAATTAAGGTAAAAAGGAAGAGAGGTACATACATCCAAATGCAATTTCTCACATTTCTGCCTGGAGGTGGGTGAAGCCGAATTTTGTGCTTACATAAACCTCACCTGTTTGACCTGGGTCTTAATTACTCTTGATTCAAGTCTTTTTTTTGGAGGTGTGGGGGGAGACAGAGTCTCTCTTTGTAACCCAGGCTGGAGTGCAGTAGCGTGATCTCGGCTCACTGCAGTCTCTACCTTCCAGGTTCAAGCGATTCTCCTGCCTCAGGCTCCTGAGTAGCTGGGATTATAGGCATACATTACCACACCCAGCTAATTGTATTTTTAGTAGAGACAGGGTTTCACCATGTTGGCCTGGCTGGTCCCAAACTCCTGACCTCAGGTGATCTGCCCACCTCTGCCTCCCAAAATGCTGGGATTACAGGCATGAGCCACTGCGCCCAGCTTCAAGTCTTAAATATATACCATGGGCAGGAGTAGCTGGAGCATGCAACTCTTCCAAACAGATATTAAGTGTGGACAAAGATTCAGAGGCTGCCAGGGCCACCACCCATGCCCATGCTCCCACCCCTAAGAACTGCCCAGGCCCACTACTTACAGCCAGAGACATAAGTACCGGGTGCCAGGAGAACAGGCCTGGAACGAGAAGAGGAGGCCTCATGGGGCTGAGGCAAGAAGAAAGCAGCCATACCGATCCTTAAGTGTTGAGGAACACCAGCAGCCCATCACCTAAGAAGGTACTGCCAAACTGTGAGCCCCTTCTTGCTTTGCAGCAAACTGACCCCACACCTATCCTCTCTTCCTGGCGCCTTCCTGGATCAGAGGCCATGCTTTGCCACTCCTCTGGCAGTCTTCCCTCCTTCCCCAGCACCTCCCATGAGGCAGCCAAATAGAGCGCTCAATTAAGGAAAGAGAAACCAGGAACCCTGTGTGGCCCGTCCACACCTACCTGCTCCATCCCACTCATCCCTCCAGCACGGAGTTCCCTCAGCTAGCCAGGCCTGCTCCCGAGAGTCCCACTGCCCTTCCTCCCCAGGAAAAGCGGCCCTTCCCTTCCCAGAAATCAACTATGAATCCTACTTACTGGAGCCAGGCCTGGCAAGCACAGCCACAAAGATGGTAAAGCCCAGGGCCACAAGGTGGGCGGCAGCCCCAGAAGCAGTGCGCAGAGCTCGATAGATGTGCGACTCGGTCTCCGCAGAAAGGGCCATGGTCAGCCGTGCCAGTGGCTGTAGCCTGAAAGCACAGTAGCGTGGGCCAGGGTCTCAGGTGCCCACTGTTCACTCCTCACTGGAGAAAAGGCTGCAAGGCAAGAATGCCACCCTCTTCCAAGAAGTCATGGTAGAAAAGAACAGTATCAAGCCCAGCACCAGGGATGGTCACAGCAGGCCAGTCGAGGGCTGGCGGCCTGTCAAGAGTGTACCCACGTGTGAACAGGTACCAATCGCTGGCCCGCCTTCCAGGTAGGATGCGCAAAGCCATGTAAGACTACAAATCCCAAAGTGTACCACGCCGTCGCCGGCGGTAGAGCCAGCTGGGAGGGCGCAGAGCACTATGGAAATTGTAGTTCCCTGCTGCGGTCCCAGTTACAGCGTGAATCCCTTCGCGCGCCGCCTCCCCAAGTGCTGCCGGCATGCTGCCCCTCCACGCTAGAGACTTGCCTGCCTCACCCGCAGAGCAGATCTGATGCGGTGGTTTCCTCCAAAGAAAGCGGGATATTCCGGTCCCTACCGCGCGCACCGCTGCTCCGTCGCGGAGCCGCTTTACTTCCGGGTGTGATGTCTTCCCATCTAGGACTTCCTGGGACGAGTCCCCCACCAGCCACGCCTCTGTGTCGCGCTGCGCAGGCGCCATTGGGCAGAGGAATTCGCAAGCTTGCATGCCCCAGTGACACAGGCCTCGGGCCGTCTCTGACAAGTGTTCACAGGAGGTGGGGACAGCTCCGCGCGAGGGACGAGAAGCTGCGGGCCTGGGCCCGGCTATCGCAATGGGCAGCGGCTGCCGCATCGAATGCATATTCTTCAGCGAGTTCCACCCCACGTTGGGACCCAAGATCACCTATCAGGTGCCACCCGGGCTCGCAGGACTGGGCGGGGAGAGGGACGTTCTTGAGAGCTCAGCCAGCTGCCTGGAGGTGGTAGATCCCGTGCTGCACGCAGGCACGCTACTTCATTCGCGGACAACTGTGAGGCTAGAGGATAGTCAGACCCAGGCCTCTGGTTCCCAATGTGGCAGGGAAAACATATGTCACATTGGCAGTGTTTGTAAGATATCGGGCCGTAGGGAACCGGTTGAGGGGTTCCAGATCCCACGGAAGGTGAGGTGGATGACCCATGAGTATCCTGAACTGATTGAAGAGTAAATGATGCATAAGAAGTTTAAATAGGGAGGAGAAAGTGTTCTGGGTAGAGGGAACAGCATATGCAGAAGCCAGGAAGGAGATTAGATCATAGCGTGTGATTGGAAACAGAAAGAAGTAATAGGCCTGAGTGTGTGGGAGAGAGGGGAACGCTAGACAAGAGGACTTGGGCCTGGGGGGCATGAGGAGGTCACCATTTGTACTACACCCAGTACAAATGTCCACTGAGGGGACCATTACCACTCCCCTCCCCAGGTCCCTGAAGACTTCATCTCCCGAGAGCTGTTTGACACAGTCCAAGTGTACATCATCACCAAGCCAGAGCTGCAGAACAAGCTTATCACTGTGTGAGACCTTAGCCTGGGATGAGCGGGGGAGTGGGGGGGGGGCAGGGGAAGTCCCAGGAGGAGGAAGGAACAGTCTTAGGTGCCTGACTCTGTTCCAATTATCCAGCACAGCCATGGAAAAGAAGCTGATCGGCTGTCCTGTGTGCATCGAACACAAGAAGTACAGCCGCAATGCCCTCCTCTTCAACCTGGGCTTCGTGTGTGATGCCCAGGCCAAGACCTGTGCCCTCGAGCCCATCGTTAAAAAGCTGGCTGGCTATCTGACCACACTAGAGGTCTGCAATGAGATGGGCTTGGGTTTAGACAGGCAGAGTTGGGGAAAGTGTTCCTATGTCTCCAAAGTCCCCCAAACCTGGGACCCTGCCAACCAGCTCAGGACTCAGCACAACTAGCCAGCCAGGGGTCCTGGGATATGCCCACCATGCTGTCCATGCTCTATCTAGCTAGAGAGCAGCTTCGTGTCCATGGAAGAGAGCAAGCAGAAGTTGGTGCCCATCATGACCATCTTGCTGGAGGAGCTAAATGCCTCGGGCCGGTGCACTCTGCCCATTGGTATGGCCAGCCTCTGCAAGGACAGCAAAGGGGTAGAGGAGAGATGGGAAAGTGAGTCCAGCCAGTAGTGGAGAGGGACAAGACTCATGAACAAATTGGTGGCCAAGAAATAGCCACTGGCTGAGGTGCCCATGTCCAGGGTCCAATGCGTGATGGAGCCGGGACTGGGGGTCGGCGGGTGGGGAGTGGAGCTCTCCAGCTCTGCCCGTTGGACAATTCCTTCCCCTTTGTGGGCCTCAATTTCTTACTCCATAAAAAGAGAAAGACTAGCCCTACCCAGAGGCACCTGCCTGCCCCAAGGGATGCTGGGAGTACTGGATGGTAATTGAGGGCCTCTTGGAAGAAGTGGCACTTAGGATATGGTTGGGACCCCCTGTAGATGAGTCCAACACCATCCACTTGAAGGTGATTGAGCAGCGGCCAGACCCTCCAGTGGCCCAGGAGTATGATGTACCTGTCTTTACCAAAGACAAGGAGGAATTCTTCAACTCGCAGTGGGACCTCACTACACAACAGGTATGCCATCCCTCCCTGGGTATCATCATCTGGGGCTGGTCACAGCCCTGGCCTCATCCTGTTCCCTCTGACCCTGTCCTACTCTGCTCAGATCCTGCCCTACATTGATGGGTTCCGCCACGTCCAGAAGATTTCAGCAGAGGCAGACGTGGAGCTCAACCTGGTGCGCATTGCTATCCAGAACCTGCTGTGAGTGTACCTACAGTCACACCCAGTACAAGGTCGCCAGCCAGGGAAGAGCTCAGGGACCCTAGGGTGTGAGGGTTGGGAAGGCATGGTCCTCAGAAGCTGAGCACAGCTGTCTCTCTCAGGTACTATGGCGTTGTAACACTGGTGTCCATCCTCCAGGTAGGTGAGTTGGGTTTGGTTAAGTGGAGAGTGGACTGTGTGGCTGGACCAGATCAAGGCTGTGTCAGTTTCCCAAGCTCCTCACTCAGTCCCCTATGCCTTCTGCTGCCCTCTAGTACTCCAATGTGTACTGCCCGACGCCTAAGGTCCAGGACCTGGTAGATGACAAGTCCCTGCAGGAGGCATGTCTATCCTATGTGACCAAGCAAGGTATTGGTGGGCTCTGGGGGAAGCCAGCTTGGGGAGGGCAGGGCCATATGGTAAGCTGACCCCTGGCACCCACAGGGCACAAGAAGGCCAGTCTCCGGGATGTGTTCCAGCTATACTGCAGCCTAAGCCCTGGCACTACCGTGCGAGACCTCATTGGCCGCCACCCCCAGCAGCTGCAGCATGTTGACGAACGGTCAGAGAATTCACTGGGGTATTTGGGAGTTACCTGAGGGAAGCTAGACCCTTTATGTCTCAACAGCCCTGGGTCATGGGGCACTGCTAATCCAAGCAGGCTTCCTGGAGATGATGGGCTACTCAGACAAAATTGAAGGGAGACTACAGAAAAGAGTTGGCCTGCCTGAGAGAAGGCCTGGCCAGGGCATCACCCCTCTGTCCTCTCATCCTCACCCTAGGAAGCTGATCCAGTTCGGACTTATGAAGAACCTCATCAGGCGACTACAGAAATATCCTGTACGGGTGTCTCGGGAAGAGCAGAGCCACCCTGCCCGGCTTTATACAGGCTGCCACAGCTATGATGAGATCTGCTGCAAGACAGGTGGAGGCAGGTGGGCAGTCAGGGTTGGGTCAGGGTAGGGTGGCCAGGCCAAGGCCACTGACCTCTTCTCCACCACCCCACCCAGGCATGAGCTACCATGAGCTGGATGAGCGGCTCGAAAATGACCCCAACATCATCATCTGCTGGAAGTAAGGCTGGTGGTGGCTGGATGCGCACATTGCTGTGGGTAGTGCCTCCTGCCAGTAGGCTTGTCATACTGTCTAGAGGTTGACTCTTAGCTCTGTAAATAAAGTCATCCATTTCAAACTATCTTACTGAGTATTGCCTCTGAGCCCGCCACAGGAGACCCAGCGATGAATGAAATAGCTACGAGCATGTGTGCTAGATCACCATCTGGTGGACAGGACTGACAATCGACAAGTAAAAGTGCTGGTTAATTATCAAAAAAAAATCATCCAGGTGCAGTGGCTCACCTGTAGCCCCAGCTACTCAGGAGGCTGCAGTGGGGGGATCGCTTGAGGCCAGGAGCTGGAGGCTACATTTAGCTGTGATCCCATCACTGCACCCCAGCCTGAGTGACAAAGCAAGACCCTGTCTCAAATAATAATAATAAATAAACCTAGAAAGAAACAGATGTAGCGTGGGCCAGTGGCTCATGCCTATAATCCCAGCACTTTGGGAGGCTGAGGTGGGCAGATCACCTGAGGTCGGAAGTTGGAGACCAGCCTGGCCAACATAGTGAAACCCCATCTCCACTAAAAAAAAATACAAAAAATTAGCCAGATTACTGCACACCTGTAATCCCAGCTACTCAGGAAGCTAAGGCAGAAGAATCACTTGAACCCAGGAGGCAGAGGTTGCAGTGAGTCAAGATCATGCCACTGCACTCTAGCCTAGGTGACAGAGGAGACGCCATCGCAAAAAGAAAAAGAAAAAAAAAAAGATGTGATCAAGAATGAGTTGGGCTGGAAGCAGGGATTGCTCTGGATTAAATGGCCAAGAAAGGCCATCCAAGGTGTAAACTGAGCCCTGAAGGAAGAGTATTCCAGGCACAGTGCAAAACCCTGAGGCAAAAACCTCTTTGGAATGTGTGAGGGAGATCCAGAGGAGCAAGGGGGAGAAGCAGGAATCCAAGTCCCAAGGTATGAGGGAGGGCAAGAAGTAGATCTTGCAGAGATGCTAGTAAGCCGTGATGGACCTAGCATTTGGTGGGCCAGAAGTAGCTGCAGAGCCTCTCTCATGCCAGGGAGTAACTGTACACTTTTTTTTTTTTTTTCTTTTCTTTTTTTTTTTTTTTGAAACAGGGTCGTTTTGTCCTCCAGGCTGAAGTACAGTGGTGCAATCTCGCCTCACTGCAACCTCTGCCTCGTGGGCTCAAGAGATTCTCCTACCTCAGCCTCCCGAGTAGCTGGGGCTACAGGTGTGTGCCACCACACCTGGCTAATTTTTGTTGGTGGTGGTGGTGTTTTTTTTTTTTTTTTTTGAGACGGAGTTTCTCTCTTGTTACCCAGGCTGGAGTGCAATGGCGCGATCTCGGCTCACCGCAACCTCCGCCTCCTGGGTTCAGGCAATTCTCCTGCCTCAGCCTCCTGAGTAGCTGGGATTACAGGCACGCGCCACCATGCCCAGCTGATTTTTTGTATTTTTAGCAGAGACGGGGTTTCACCGTGTTGACCAGGATGGTCTCGATCTCTTGACCTCGTGATCCACCCGCCTCGGCCTCCCAAAGTGCTGGGATTACAGGCGTGAGCCACCGGGCCCGGCCAAATTTTTGTATTTTTAATAGAGACAGTTTCACCATGTTGCCCAGGCTGGTATCGAACTCCTGACATCAAGTGATCTGCCTGCCTCGGCCTCTCAAAGTGCTGGGATTACAGGCGTGAGCCACCGCGCCTGGCCTGACACACTTTTTAAAAAGAGGCTCCGGGCTGTTCACGAGGACCAAGCGTGGAAATAAGTCTAGAGAAAAGGCTGCCACAGTTATCCCATGACAGGTGATGACATTCTGGATGGAGAGAAGTCGTGCGCCCTGGCAGTAAGTATTTCGGGAGCCAACTAGAGGAGCCGGGACGCGAAAAATAGAGGAACCAGGAAGCCATAAGGAGGAGGAGCAGCCGCAGGAATTGCTGGTGGGGTCGGGGTTGCCCCCATCCCTGTGCAGGCTGACTTGGCGTCCGAGGACAGAGTCCAGGCCACAAGAATCGGGAGAGACTCGTGAGTCACAGCCTGAGAAAGCTCTGGGAATCCAGATACTGTAGCAATTGGCAGCGGCTTAGGCGAGGCGGGCTGTAGACCCGCCCGGATTTAGGCGAGAGCTACCTCCAGGGGCGGGCCCAGGCCGCAATGCGCAGGCGCGGCGAATCCGTTTCCATGGCTGCGAGAACCCACGCTCCCCAACCGCTCAGTAACTGTCTGGTCCCAGACTTTGGCACCGTCAGGCATCGTCCCCGTGTGTTAGCATCCCCACCCCGACTGCTGCCCAGGGTCCGCCGGACCCCGGCCTCGACATGGGAGACCTGGAGCTGCTGCTGCCCGGGGAAGCTGACGTGCTGGTGCGGGGTCTGCGCAGCTTCCCGCTACGCGAGATGGGCTCCGAAGGGTGAGGCACCTGGGTCAGGCGGAGTCATGGGGTCATTGTCCTTGAGTGGGGGAGCTGGGGCCTGACATGGGCGGAGGGGCTGCCCAGTGTGGAGGGGCCTCCAAATGGGGAAGCTGGGAGTTCCGAGACAGGAGTATTACTGCTCCTGAGCCCCCTGTGGCCCCTCAGGATCAGGTTAGGTTTCAACAGGATCCAGCCCCCCATCCTCATTCCTAATGCACACACGTGCGCCCACATGCACTCACCCTCTGGGACAGGTGGAACCAGCAGCATGAGAACGTGGAGAAGCTGAACATGCAAGCCATACTCAATGCCACAGTCAGCCAGGGCGAGCCCATTCAGGAGCTGCTGGTCACCCATGGGAAGGTACCCCGAGGTCACAGGCAGGATTCCTGCCTTCCTCCATACCTCACCCACTCTACCCCTCAGGAATGCCCTGTGTGTTTTTCCCTCTGGCCTGGTATACTTGTCCTCCCTGAAGGTGAAAGAGGAATGTGTTACGTTTCATTTTGTATCCCTATGGACAGGACTCTGGCACACCAGGCCGGGTGCAGGGCATGAGTTGAATAAGGAGAAAGTTGTGGGTCCTAGAACAGCTTAGGATTCGAGGTGAAGGCCCAAATGCTAAAGGCATCTGTGAATTGACTGCAAGGATGGCGGGGAGGGGAGATAACTTAATTGGAAGTGGATCTTTGGCAGGGAAGGAAGCAGCCTTTCCAACATGAGAGAGGGGAGTTAGAAACCAGGGAGATGACTGGCTGGAACATGGACCAGGGAGTATCACCAGCAGATGACCTGAAATATCAATTCAAAAAAAAAAAAAAAAAAAAGAGTTCCTTTGCAAGAGAAAGGTGGAGCTCACTACTAGGGGATAGGTTAGGGACAGGGCACTGTGAAGGGTCCTGAGTAAGAGTGAGGCCAAGGCACACAAGAGCCTTGGAGGACCAGAGGACAAGGACAAGAGAGAGGGCGTGAGCAGAAGGGCTGGCTTGAATGCCTGAATGGGGGGAGAGAGGATAAGGATACAGGTGCAGGCAGGGCAAGGCAGTCTGGGGACTGGGCAGGAGCCAGTCACATAAGCATGGGGGACATCCACAGAGGTGTTGGGAGCAGCTGGAAATGAAGGTCCAAGTTGCAAAAGAGAAGTCAGGAAGGATACTTATGGGGTCTAGGAGAGTCTAGGGACCCAGCAGTGTTTGAGGAGATCTGGGCTGAGCTGAGCCAGGGATGGGAGGGTTGCCAGGCTAGGCCCATCTCACCCCTGTCCTTTCCCCCCACTTCAAAGATCCCAACACTGGTGGAGGAGCTGATCGCAGTGGAGATGTGGAAGCAGAAGGTGTTCCCCGTGCTCTGCAGGGTGGAGGACTTCAAGCCTCAGAACACCTTCCCCATCTACATGGTGGTGAGCTGGCCCCTAGTTCATACCTCCTCCCACTCCTTCAGAGGGCTCTGGACCCGGGAGGAGAACTGGTGGCCCTATCCCTCCCTCAGGCCCTGTCCTTCTTTTTGTCTAACAGGTACACCATGAGGCCTCCATCATCAACCTCTTGGAGACAGTGTTCTTCCACAAGGTGAGAGACTATCTCTGCCCATGGGCCACTGTTCCAGGTCAGGGCCTGGCAGGAAGGAAGGTTGAATCTGTGTGGGGAGGGCATCAGACACAGAAAGCTTCCCTCCCCCTTCACCCAGGAGGTGTGTGAGTCAGCAGAAGACACTGTCTTGGACTTGGTAGACTATTGCCACCGCAAACTGACTCTGCTGGTGGCCCGGAGTGGCTGTGGTGGCCCCCCTGAGGAGGAGGGGTCCCAGGACAACAACCCCATGCAGGTGGGTTGAGGTTCCCTAGGGTTAAGAACGCCTAGGTCCAGGTTCCCCAAGGCCTGCGCAAGTGAGAGTGGCCCAGCATAAACACTGTGTGGCCTCCCAGGCGCTGCAGAAGCAGGCAGAGTTGATGGAATTTGAGATTGCTCTGAAGGCCCTCTCAGTACTGCGCTACATCACAGACTGCGTGGACAGGTGGGCAGCCTGACTGGGCCTGGGCCTACCATGGAGGGCTGGAAGACTAGGCCTGTAGCCTGCCTCTGCTCACCTCCTTCCCAACATTCCTGCCCCTAGCCTCTCCCTCAGCACCTTGAGCCGCATGCTCAGCACACACAACCTGCCCTGCCTCCTGGTGGAACTGCTGGAGCATAGTCCCTGGAGCCGATGGGAAGGAGGTAGGGTCCTCCCCCACCAGCCTAAGCCCCAGGCTACTGCTTCAGGATATCTTTTTGGTAAAGGGGGACAGCTTGCCTATACGAAGACAAACCCTGTCCCCAAGCCCACTGAGGATACCAGGATGCCTCAACCAAGCTTGGCCTAGACCTGAGCTCTGCAGCAGGCCAGGCCCATGTGTCCACTACTGAGGCTCATCCTGCTCTGGGGTGAGCAGCACTATAGCCTGTCCAAGTCCTGTGGCCCAGGTTCTCCCACCATTCCCAGGCAATGGTCAGTCTCCCATGCCCCACAGCTGGCTCACTTGAAGAGAATGCAACGCCTGCACCCAGTGTGCTGGTTCCTCTCCCCAGGCAAGCTGCAGCAGTTCGAGGGCAGCCGTTGGTATACTGTGGCCCCCTCAGAGCAGCAAAAGCTGAGCAAGTTGGATGGGCAAGTGTGGATCGCCCTGTACAACCTCCTACTAAGCCCCGAGGCCCAGGCGCGCTACTGCCTCACAAGTTTTGCCAAGGGACACCTACTCAAGGTCGGACTCCCTCCACACCAGTCCCCACAGCCCCAGCACTACCCCTCCCCATCCTACCCTGACTGCATCCCTGCTGTTTATCTTTGCCCACCCACCTCAGCCCCAGTATTCTTTTCAGTTCTTGGGCCTCAGATGACACAGCAGCTAGTGGGACATGGGCCCCTACAGGCATGCTTAGCCCAACCCAGCCCCTTCCTTTTCCTTGGCCCCCTGGCCAGCACCTGCCTCGCACTGGCCTCACTGGATACCCTTGCAGCTTCGGGCCTTCCTCACAGACACGCTACTGGACCAGCTGCCCAACCTGGCCCACCTGCAGAGTTTCCTGGCCCACCTGGCCCTGGCTGAAACCCAGCCCCCTAAGAAGGACCTGGTGTTGGAACAGGTAGGCACCGGAAAGTTAGCTGCTCAGGACCACTGTCCTACTTTACCAGCTCCTTCCTGCCACTCTCCACGTCTCACCTAGATCCCAGAAATCTGGGAGCGGCTAGAGCGAGAGAACAGAGGCAAGTGGCAGGCAATTGCCAAGCACCAGCTCCGGCACGTGTTCAGCCCCTCAGAGCAAGACCTGCGGCTGCAGGCGCAAAGGTAAGGCCTGTGGAACTGGCAGGGTGGGGTGGATGGGATGCAGGAGGCATGGATGTGGGCAGGGGTGACCCCCCCTTCCAGGGCCAGTCAGACCTTCCTGACTCTCCCCAAGGTGGGCTGAGACCTACAGGCTGGATGTGCTAGAGGCAGTAGCTCCAGAGCGGCCCCGCTGTGCCTACTGCAGTGCAGAGGCTTCCAAGCGCTGCTCGCGATGCCAGAATGAGTGGTATTGCCGCAGGTGAGGATAACCTAGGACCTTGGACCCCTAAGCCCTACTCCTACATCCCCTACATGTGCTGCGATCCTCAGTATCCACCTGCCTGCAGGGAGTGCCAAGTCAAGCACTGGGAAAAGCATGGAAAGACTTGTGTCCTGGCAGCCCAGGGTGACAGAGCCAAATGAGGGCTGTCGTTGCTGAGGGCCGACCAACCCATGTCAAGGGAATCCAGCCAGAACGCACCCCTGAATCTCAAGATCACGGGCCCGCCTCTGCCAAAGCCCCAGTCTCTGTGGTGGAGAGCAAAGCAGGCGGTAAAGCTGCTGACCCATCCCCCTCCTCCCCTCCCCAAGGGACGGCGCGAGACTTCCTGCCCCACCCTGTGGGCAGGCCAAGTGCGTTGCCTCAGCAAACCGGGCCGGGAGGGCAAGGGCCGGATGTGGGGACCCTCTTCCTCTAGCACGGTAAAGCTGGCCTCCAGAAACACGGGTCCACGTGGTGTTTTGCGGTCGCCTGCATTGTGGCCTTCCGGGGTTGGGGGTGAGGAGGGGACGAAGGAGGGAAAGGAGGGCCAGGCGGGGGATCTGCGAGAGCGCGCCCAGCCCCGCCTTCGGGCCCCACAGTCCCCCCACCCAGGTTTCCTTTGCGCGGCTCTCCTCAGCTCCTTCCCGCCCTGCCAGCCTAGATCCCGGAGGCGGCGCTGAAGTCGGGCCCGCCCTGCGGCCCCGCCCGGCCCGCGCTTGCTAGCGCCCAAAGCCAGCGAAGCCCCGGCCCGACCGGGCCATGTCGGCAGAGCCTGAGCTCATTGAGCTGCGGGAGCTGGCACCCACCGGGCGCGCCGGGCAGGGCCGCACCCGGCTGGAGCGTGCCAACGCTCTGCGCATCGTACGGGGTACTGCGCGCAACCCCTTACGGCAGCTGGTACCGGGCCGTGGCCACCGCTTCCAGCCCGCGGGGCCCGCCACGCACACGTGGTGCGACCTCTGCGGCGACTTCATCTGGGGCGTCGTGCGCAAGGGCCTGCAGTGCGCGCGTGAGTAGCTGCCCCGCGCGCCCACGAGAGCGGAAGGGGCAGCCAAGGGGCAGCGCCGTCGCCGCGGGTCAAGACGCGGCAGAGGGGGTCGGCAGGGACAGCTCCCGCGGACTAGGTCCGTTACTTTCACCCCATCGCTGAAGAGTGTGCGAAAATGGTTTATCCCTTTGTGCACTCCTCCCGTATCTGGGGCACAGATGGGCAGAGGTGGCTGCTTGTATGTAAAAATGTGCTGATTTCAAGTTTCTTTAAAATGCCTTGGCCTTTCTTGAGAAAGGGTTTGTGCCTACTGTCCTCTGAGTCCATCTTTCCAGGCTTGCCTCTTCCCAAAGATTCACTCACTGTGACCCCCCTCCAGAACTTTTGGGGTGAAGTTACCCATCTATATGGGAGGGAGCCTGGAAAAAGTTAGAACCTTGGGGGGGCCCCTGCAAGCAGGAGTTTTGTTGAGTCTTTATTTAGCAAACACCCATTTCTGACCCAGTGAATCAGATGCTAAAATATGGAATACAGTCACACACCCATCAGTCCTTCTGCACCCCTGGGAATCACCAGCAAGGCAAAAGTTGCTCTCCCATAGCTAGACACCAGCTGGAATCACCAGGGGCACTTTTACAGCCCTCTGACCCTCTATGCCTAGATCCCACCTCAGACCTGTTGAATCAACTGCTGGGAGTGGACCCTAGGCATCAGCAAATTTTTAAAACTCCCCAAATTATTCTAACATTTAGGAACCTTTGGATAAATGGTGTCCCAGGTGTGTGTGTGCATGGAGACCCTCTCATGTGGTACAAGAGAATATCACAAATTCAGCTGGGGGAAGCATAAAGTTGTGAAAGAATACAGAGAATGAACAAGGAGACGGCCGCGGTGGCTCTCTTCTGTAATCCTAGCACTTTAGGAGGCCGAGGTGGGTGGATCACCTGAGGTCAGGAGTTCAAGACCAGCCTGGCCAACATGATGAAACCTGGTCTCTACTAAAAATACAAAACATTATCTGGGCGTGGTGGTGGGTGCCTGTAATCCCAGCTACTCAGGAGGCTGAGGCAGGAGAACTGTTTGAAGCCAGGTGGCGGAGGTTGCAGTGAGCTGAGATCGTGCTACTACACTCCAGCCTGGCGACAGAGACTCCATCTCAAAAAAAAAAAAAAAAAAAAAAAAAAAAAAGAACAAGGCTGGGATATTGTAGCGTTCTCAAAGAAAAATAAAGTGGCCACATAGATGATAAAAAAGCAGGACGATTTGGGCGTGTATCAGAAGTAGAGACAAGGGAGGAATCAAAAATAAGTTTAGGTTTTTGTCTCCAGTAATTGGGGGCATAGTGGCCATTTTTGCTGCAGTGAGGAAGCTAGGCAAGGGTAGCAGTGAGGTGGAAGAAAGGGGAATTAAATTTTGGCCATGTTCACTTGAAACGTCCTTTAGACATCCTAGTGAAGGTACTGGCACAGAGGATCTAATCTAGGTCAGTGTTTCAGCTGTGGATCTGGGGCAGGTGAGTGTAGAGAGACCAGGCCAGCTATCAGGACTGAGCCCAAATATCACCGTGAGATCTGGAAGTTGAGTCAGAATCTGCAAAGGAGCTGAGCAGGAGCTGCAGGGGATAGGAGGAAACCCGGGAGTGTGTGTCCCCTGGGAGTCAAAGGGAGCAAGCTTCAAATGATTCTGAGGGGGTGAGAATGGAGACTGGGACACTGGATTCCATTTGGCAGTACGCAGATCGCTCAGGACCCTGTCCTGGGCAGTTTCCTGGACGGAGAGGCAAGCCTGCCTGGAGAGGGTGGAGGACAGAGTGAAGGCGGATTAGAATCTATAGAGACCAGTGTTTTGGTCTGAGGGGAATAGAGACAGATGACAACCAGAGGGAGGACGTAGGTTAAAGATGTTTGGTTTTGGCCGGGCGTAGTGGCCTACGCCTGTAATCCAAGCACTTTGGAGGCCAAGGCGGGCGGATCACCTGAGGTCGGGAGTTCAAGACCAGCCTGACCAACATGGTGAAACCCCGTCTTATATATATATATATATATATATATATATATATATATTTTTTTTTTTTTTTTTTTTTTTGGAGACGGAGTTTCGCCCTTGTTACCCAGGCTGGAGAGCAATGGCGCGATCTCGGCTCACCGCAACCTCCGCCTCCTGGGTTCAGGCAATTCTCCTGCCTCAGCCTCCTGAGTAGCTGGGATTACAGGCACGCGCCACCATGCCCAGCTGATTTTTTGTATTTTTAGTAGAGACGGGGTTTCACCATGTTGACCAGGATGGTCTCGATCTCTTGACCTCGTGATCCACCCGCCTTGGCCTCCCAAAGTGCTGGGATTTATATATATTAAAAAAAAAAAAAAAGTTTGTTTTTTCCCTCAAGTAAATGGGCAGAGGTTTTACATAGAAGTTGCAAATAAGGAAGGGGGAACCTCTGCGGGAGGCGATGAGATCCAACTGTTGAGAGGGCCTGGGTCCCTAACTGCCTTTGGCCTTCCGGTCAGTTTCCAGACACCAACATTAGAGTCCGCTTAACAGTGGGAGGTAACCCACTGAGACAGGCCGGGCCTCTGGAGCCTCGCGGGCAGCGGCCCTCTCCCTGGGGCTTCCCTTCAATCACCGGGACAATTCCCCGACCTGGGGCTGCTCCGCCTCACGGCCAGGCCTCTCTGCAGATTGCAAGTTCACCTGCCACTACCGTTGCCGCGCGCTCGTCTGCTTGGACTGCTGCGGGCCCCGGGACCTGGGCTGGGAACCCGCGGTGGAGCGGGACACGAACGTGGTGAGCGCGGGACTGAGGGCGTATGGGCAGGGCGAGGAAGGGCAGGCCACAGCGCAGGCGTTCCCGAGGGCTGTCCGGTGCTGCGCGCAATGAGCGTTCTAATTGCCGATTTCCTAGCGGCAGAGAGAGGCTAATTCTGCTCTGGGGCTGGGAGGGGTGCCTGGATTGCCGGCTCCGCACGGACTCCGCAGGCTGCCAGCCGACCGCGGCTGAGGCGGGCCCAGGCTCCGCGCACGCGCAGTTCCCACACCTTCCGGCCATAGCCTACGGACAGCGGCGACTCTGGTGCGCCTGCGTAGACGCTGGCACCTGCCCCGTTTCCTGTAGGAGGTGGGGTCTGTAAGTGGAGCTGCCGGAGCGATGAGGTCATTCCTGGGGGCGAAGCGTGCGTGTCCCCGCCCCGACGTTCCGCCCCTAGTAAGACAAGAGCTAGATCCCGGCGATCTACGTTTCAGTCTTAACGGTTGCGCTGGCCGGGGCGCACGCGCACACTGACACGCGTACACACACGCACGCACGCACGCGACCGGGGCGGTGGTTGGCGGCTGCGGACGCTCGGGACTAGAGGGACGGGCGTGTAGGGCGATGGGCGAGGCGGAGACGCCTTCTTTCGAGATGACCTGGAGCAGCACCACAAGCAGTGGCTACTGCAGCCAAGAGGACTCCGACTCGGAGCTCGAGCAGTACTTCACCGCGCGAACCTCGTTAGCGCGCAGGCCGCGCCGGGACAAGGTGGGCGCCAGGGGGTGCCGTCAAGGGGCGGGGGGCGGTTGCTGGAGCCCCGCCCTCCCCAGTGAGTAGCCGCATCCTGGGTCGGTGGGTAGCCCCACCCTCCAGGCTACGTGGCTCCCCGCGGGTCCTGGCCGAGGACTGGCCCGCGGAACTGTGTGTAAGACCCCGATTCCAGCGTCTCGGTACTGGATGCTGGGGTCCCCTTGGTTTCTGTCACTGACCGGTTGAACAGGGAAGGCAGCTGTGTGGCTTGTGGTAGATCTGAGCCGGGCATTATCCAGTTATGACTAAAGCCGACCGAGCAGTCTGGACTAGCACCTCGATTTCCGCGTTCGGATGCTCCTGCCCCCTCCTTGGGGCGACTATGGGAGGAAGTGGAGAGGGAGGAGTCCTCTCCAGGAATTGAGAAGTATGTTTAGGAAAACTGAGAGGCAGAGGGAGATCTCCTCCTTATGCACTCCTGGATGGAGCCAGCTGAGTCCTCACCTCTTGCCTGTTCTGGCTTGTCACCACCTGCTGGATTGTGGAAGATTCTGATCCCTCCTCTAGGGTGGATCTGGAGAAAGATTTGGGAATGGATAGGAAGAAAGTCTTGTTTTGGACCATAAGCATTCAGGAGCATTTTATCCACAAGAAGGGGGAAGGTTAGATTGTAAAATGTCTAAAGAGGTGGAAAGAGATCCAGGTTACTAACCCAGAACTGTAAGGTGTCTTGGAACCTCCTAGGTGTCCCCGTTATCAGAGAACTCTGTGCTAGGTGCCATGGGTGTAACCACCAGGCTCAGAGAACCAGGCCCAGGCACCAGGAGAGAGAAATAGGGACTGTGAAGCTCAGTATGCCTGGCAGCAGTGGGGTGGAAATCCTTATTTAAGTAAAGAAAGTGGACTTGTGGGTGATGCTTTAGATAAAATTTTACAAAACTTCTTACAAAGGGGTTGGTGCTCAGCACCCCAAAATCTCAGCCCATAGCTTGGGTGCAAGGGTTGAGTGTAAATCCCTGGGCATGTCTTCATGTCACTCAGTCCTGAGCCATTTTCCACTGTGGAAAGGTGGGAAAACTAACCAATTGAAAAGGAGGGCTAGGAATGGTGGGACACACCTGTAATTCCAGCTACGCAGGAGGGTGAGGCAGGAGGATTGCTTGAACCTGGGAGGCAAAGGTTGCAATGAGCTGAGATCATGCCACTGTACTCCAGCCTGAGCAACAGAGTGAGACTCTGTCTCAAAAA